CTCCCTAACTGGATTGAGACCATTTTTTCAGCCACTTTGTTAATTCATTTTTTTAAGGGTGTTCTTTCTGCAGCTTTGTAACTGACTATTTTACCAAGCACAATGCCTTTCTCCAAAGACTGACCTCGCCTCCAAAAATGTCCAAAGAACGTGAAATCTCACCATTTTGGCTTATAAGAAGCATTCTGTCTGTACTTCGTGCAAGATAAAGTTTGTCTGTCCTACTGGCAGTCCCTGGTGTTGTTAGTATTCTGTGTCAATATCACAATTCAAAGACATCCATTATTTTCCACTCTTCATTACTCACTGTCTAGGTTTCATATACCTAGGTGAGGATTAAAATGCTGTGGTTTGAGATGAGCATACCTTAGTTTTCAAGGTGAAATCTGTGCTTTTTAACGCTTCAACAAAGCAGTACAATGTTTGATTTCCTGACTGCTTGCTTGACGGTTACTCCAAGTAAAATAAAATACTTGACAACTTGAATGCTTTTCCATTTATGGTAGCACTGCTTATTGGTCTCATTGAAATAAATAATACAGGCAAACATCTTTATGGCACTTTCTGCTTGAAGCCAAGATCTCGCTAATATCTGCAATGGTTTCCCTTGCTCAATGTCCTCTTTTGAATACAGACTGAATTTTTGGCCATACCCTGTCTAAAGTGCTGCTGCAAACATTTTTTGAATTGTCCTATGCCTGAGCCCATTGATGCAGTAACTGTATTAATCCATCTTGTTGAGAGTTTTCCTCTTGTCACCACCCCTTTACTTCAACATGATGTCCTTCTCCAATGACTGGTCTCTCCTGACAGTATATTCAAAGTATGTAAGACAAAGTCTTGCTATTCTTGGCTCTAAGAAGCCCTCTGGCTTTTTTTCTCCCAAGACAGATCAAAATGTCCTTTCAGCAGAAGATGGTGATTTCAATATTCTTCTCCAGCACCACAATTCAAATACATTCATTCTTACTTGGTCTTCCTTCTTCAATGTGAACTTCCACATGTATATGATGCAAGGGAAAATACCATGACCTGGGCCAGGTGCACCTTAGCCCTCAAAGTAACAGCCTTGCTCTTCAATACTATACAAAAATCTTGTGAAACAGATTTACCTAATTCAAAATGTCTTTTGATCTCTTCACTCTTGCTTCCATGAGCACGGACTATGGATATATATAAGACAAAATTTTTGACAACTTCAGTCCTTTCTCCATGTATCATGATGTTACCTATTGTTGCAAATGATTGTAGTCCACAGTGAAGGTTAGACTACTTGACCTTCATCAACAAGTTCTTTATGTCCTCCTCACTTTCAGCTAGCAATATTGTGTCACCTGCATACCACATGTTGTTAATAAGCCTTCCTCTGATCCTGATGCCATGATCTTTTTCATATAATCCAGCTTCTCTCATGCTTTGCTCAGAATATAGATTTAACAAGTCTAGTGAGAGGGTACAAAGCTGACACACACCTTTCCTGATTTTAAACCATGCAGCATGCCCTTGTCCAGTTTGTACAACTGTCTCTTGATCCATGTACAAGTTTCCCATGAGTAAAACGAAGTTTTCTGCAGTTCCCATTCTTCTCAAGAATATTCATAGTTTTTTATGCTCCAGTCAAATGCCTTTGCATAGTCAATGAAACAGAAGTAGACATCTTTCTGGTATTCTCTGCTTTGAGAAAAGATCCATCTGACATCAGCAATGATATCCTTTGTTCTACATCCTGTTCTGAATCTGCCCTGGACTTCTGAGAGTTCCTGGTCACTGTGCTGCTACAAATGTTGTTGGATAATCTCAAGCAACATTTCAATTATGTGTGACATCAGTGGTATGGTTTTGCAATTTGAGCATTATGTGGGGTCACCTTTTTTTGGAATAGGCACACATATGGATCTCTTACAGTTAGTTGGCCAAGTAGCTGTCTTCCAAATGTCCTGGCCTAGAAGAGCGAGTGCTTCCAGTGCTTCTTCAGCTTTGCTGAAACATTTTAATTCCATCAATTCCTGGGGCCTTGTTTTTGGCTAATGCATTCAGTGCAGTATGAACTTCTTCCTTCAGCAACCAATGACTTGTTCACAGACAGTACCTTTTCAACTACACAAAAGGCAACTATACCCATGGATGTCTCCAGATGGAATATAAAGAAAGCAAATTGATTACATCTGTAGGAAGGCACCATGGAGACGCTAGATATCAGCAGGTAAAACCAGACCAGGGACTAATTGTGGAACAGATTGTCAATTGATCATATGTAAGTTCAGGATATAGCTGAAGAAAATTTTAAAAAATGCACAAGAGTCAAAACCTTGAGTCTATCCCATTTGAATTTTGAGACCATCTTAAGAACCGATTTGATGCATTGAACACTAATGACTGGAAACCTGCTGAGCTGTGCAAAGACATCAAGACCATCATTCATGAAGAGAGCAAATAGTCATTAAAAAAACAGGAACAAAGAAAAGATATAGCATCTGGGGTCTTAAAAGCTTGCAGGTAAACAAGCAGCCATATAGCTCAGAAGCAACAAAGCCCTCATGGAAGAAAAACACCAGCCTGTGTGACCATGAGGTGTAGAAAGCACCAGATATCAGGTATCAAAGAACAAAAAATCTTGAATAAGCAAATGTGGTGAAGAAAGCTGAT